AGCAACTATATTAGGTAGATCAATTATAATTTTTTCAGAGGAAGTAATAGTTGATTGGGTTTTGATTTGAGAGTTGTAATTTTTGGATGGTTTGGAAAAATAAGATGAAGTGGAAGGTTTATTAAAGTCTCATTTAATTTCAGTAGATGATAACATGTTGATTGTAGAGCAGTGTAGTTTTCAAATGAGGTTGTATAACTGGGTTATAGCTTTGTTGATTGTCTCAACCCAGTTGAAGAAGTCTAATATAGAAAAGATTTTATCTGTAAAGCTACAAGATAGTTCAGCTACTTTCCATATATATGAAATTGGTGTTTAATTGCTATTCAGATAGAGAATTTAATTGATATTTTTAATTATTTGATCAGCTTTAATAGAGGCTTCAGGACATTTGAAAATATGATAGATGTCTTCAGTACAGAATTCATACCTTAGGCATCAAGTATCTGGATACTAATCAGAATATAGCTGGTGAAGGGTTTTGCAAGTGGGTAGAATACCTAAATGTAGTTTGATTCTGAATGCAATTATATTGCTATAGCTGTTATTGTGCAGTTTTTTGATATTCTTATTATATTTAATGATAACTTTCAGGCCATATGGAATATGCTCCCATCTAAAAGTTTGAGTAACAGAAGAACTTTCACAAATAATATAGTCTCTAGTAATACTGAAGATTTTTTTGCACCACCTAATACTATTGCTGAGGTATGTATTATTAATTAATGAATTTTCTGGAAAGTGTAATAGAGAATTATTCTATTGAATAGATCTAGTTGATGGTGGTTTGGATTTAAATTTGAAATTTATTATTTGTATTGATTTTTGTTATATTTGAAGAATTATTCTTTGGATTAGTGCTGAGAAGTTGATCTTTACCATTCTTCTAAGGTATTCAAAAACTGATTAGAATTGTATCAAGTACTTTTTTGATGTAGCTCTTAGATTTGCTATAGAAATTTTCCACCTTGTTCTTCAAGTTTAAATAAAATTCCTTGATTGATTCTTGTTGAACTTGGATCAAGACCTTCTTGATTAAAAGTTTCTTTAGTTTCTAAAGGCCTTTGATTGAGATGTTAGGGTTGTGGTTAAAGGTTTATTAAAGAACTAATAACTTTTAGTCTTAAAATGATAAAGATGAATATTTATTTTTGAGTAGTATTATAATTTTATTGATTTTTTTAATTTGTTTTTTTAGTTTTTTCTTTGCATTGGTATAATAATCTTTTTATATAAAGTTGACTTTTGATTTTTTGATATGCTTGTTAAGAATGTTGAAGCAAATATTATAAAAGTTATTCCAGTTAGGTGAAGACAGAAGACAGGTTCAATGGTTTAACTTTTTGGTAAATTCTTGGATATCTTCTTTTTGGATTCTGTTGAGATCAAATTTGAAGATAGATTTGAAGTATTTGAATTCAAAGTAGTCAAGTTTTATTGAGATAGCTTGATGATCTGTTGGGATAGTATCTATCTCTTGTATCTTATATAATACTACTTTAGAAGCAAAATTTCTTGAAACTCAGGCTTGATCTATATATAAGACACTAGTGGCAGTTAAGTGCATATATGCTTTGCTATTATATTGCTGCCTATAATCAATATAGTTGTTAAGATACTTATATATTAATTATTTGTATAAAGTAGTTTTGATTTCAATGAATGGACTGTTTTTTGGATAGGTATTAAAATCTTCTAGAATTATATAATAAAGTTTGTGGTATATGACTAGTTTGATAGTTAGGTATACTTGTTTGAGGACTGAATATTTTTTCTTTCTATTGTATAGAAGATAAATTACTGTTAGGAGTATGTTTACTTTTTCTTTAAATTTCAAGATAATTGATAAGCAGTAGTTATATATATTATATATTTTAAACACATATGGTAAGAGGTTTTTGCTAATGATTAGTATGGTACCACTTTTTGCGATGTTTGAATTGCTATAGATAATTGATCTTCTGTTGATGTTGTTTAGATGGCGGTCTTCCTTTTTAAGTTTAGTTTTGATATACAATAAGATAGATCTGGTGTTTACTATATTAGTTAAGACTTTGAGTTTGATTGGATAATTAAGGTCTTTAGTGTTAATAATTATAAAAGTGATTAGATTTTTGATATTATTGATAATATTAGGATTAGTTAAAAATAGTCATTTTGATTGAACTAGTTCAGTAATATATGATTGTAATTTGTGTTGAGATTGTTACTTATAGTTGTTATTTTAGAAATGGTATGAAATCAAACTCTGGTTCAGAAAACATCTTTTTGATAACTAGAAATTTAGAAAGTCTGATAAAGGAAAATATTTGATGAAGTTGATAGATTATTGTTAAAAGAGTGTTATTGTTGATTAGAGAAAATTTGAGAGTTATAAAGTTGTTATTTGATAGAATTTTGTTGATTTTATTGGGGTCTTCTGACAGTAGGACTTGTGAATTAGTAAATCACTTTAAATCAACTTATTAAAAAAATTTAATTTAAATGTTTATAATTTAAATTTTTTTTATCTAATTATAAATAAAATACTAAATAAAAATTTCTCTTTTGGTATATACTTTATAATATAAATTTAATTTTCATAAATTTACTTTACATGTTTTACATTTATATAGTGAGACACAAATATATTTATGTAACTAACAGTACAAGAAATACTTTTAAAAGATCTGTTTTGATCAATAGTATTTTAATTAGTATAATAAAAAAATACATATATATTGAACAATTTTAATAAACAAAATTTAACAAAAAAAGCTTTTAATTAAAAATGAGATAATAAAAGAAAAATTGTAATAAGTGATTGATGTTTATAATTAAATATTATGTAATAGGAGAGATTGTGAAAAAATCTTGTCACTATATTTATCCTTGTATGGTTATTTTAATACATAAGAAAAATGTATAAAAGGAAGTAAAATAATTAATTATAAAGACAGTAAATTATTTTATTCAATCAAATTAAACATGTCTTAAAAATCTTTCTTCATCTATAGTTATATGAAACTTTGCAATTTTAATGACAAACTTACTGATCTATTATAAAAATATAAAAGTTCTTATTATATTAGAGGCGGTGCTAGGGTTAGAATAGCTAATATAGTTAGTCAGACTCTTCATGTAATGATTGTAACTTCAATGCTAAGTTAATAAAGTTCGCATGTAATGCACTTTGCCTCTAAAAAAAAAAAAATAAAAAATAAAATTTCTTATTATTCAGAAATTTTAAATTAATTAATTAAAGTAAAAAGAATACATATGTCTTATAATTGAAAAAAACTTTTGCTTATTGTTATTTATATACTGTATAGAAAATTAGTAGTAAAATATCAGAATTAATATGCTTAATATAATATACAGTATGTAATAAAACTTTTTGAATTTTTTTTAAAAATTTTAATATTTTGATTAATTATAAATTAAAACAAAAAAAATTTTTATTAAAAAGATATAATATTATATTAATTATTAATTAATTTTAAAATTTATTGTATTTAAATTTATGAAGCTATAGAATTTTATATTTTATTTTTGATATTATAAAAAAAAAAAGTATAAATTCAAAATTCAAAAATTTACAAATTAAAAATTATTAAATAAAATTTTTTTAAAAAGAAAAAAATCTATATATTTAATTAAAAAATTTTTAAATTTATTAAATTTAAATTTATAGAATTATAAAATTTTGAATAAAATTTTTATTTGTAATTGATTTTTAATACTCAAAAAATTTAATTTCAAAAAATTTTAAAAAACATATTTATATAAAATTTATATTATTATAATCTCTAGATTCTAAACTTTATTTTGATATATTATTTATTAATTTTTATGCAATAATTTTTGAATAACAAATAAATAAAAAATTCCAAAAAGAGACCTGTAGGTCAATAGCACAGTGGGTAGTGCTCCCAGGTCACAAAACGCATGTCTCTAGTTCAATATCCACAGGGGGCAAAAAGCGAATTTATCTTTATATGTAGGTTTGCTGGATATCCTGCATATGTCATACCCAATAATCCTTATCACATTCAAATTCAGTTAGGCTGCATGAAGATGGGACCTCTGGTCTTCCCGACGATCATGGGCTGAAAACAGGTTGAAGCACGGAAGGTTGTATGAGAAAAGGCTTCTGGTCTAACTCTGGTAAAAGTCCACAAAAATTTCAACCCAAACTGGCAACAGCAGACTCCGTCACACAACCCAAAGAGATTAACCCTAAACTGATCTATCCCAATCTGGAGCTTGAGGATCTAGTCCTAAAGTAGTGTTCACATAAACTTAAATGGACCAAAAGGGCAAAAGGTTATTGGCCACAGGAGGTGACAATCCAGGCAAAAATCGTTAAGACCAAGTGAGTTTGATGAGGATCATCAAGATTAAATCAGAATCCAAGCAAGGACATCAGTTCTACAGGTGGTGAAAACAGTAGTGCGACAATATGCTAGTGGCATATCCCAAGGGTCAGTGATAACAGTGACTGGAATACTGGGATTGGTCTCTATAATAATATTCCATAATAACTTGCTTCCTGCAATAATGAACCAGCAGGTTTAGGAGGGTTTAAACTAGTGGTAGGATTCCTCCCCCTGCAGAAGTTCCATCTAACGTGTGGGCACATCTTTATGATGTTTAAATGAACACATAAGTTGGGTAATAGTGGTTGGTGTAGCTAATCTTATAGTAATATAGGCATTAGGCAGTGTTAATCTGCAGATTAATTTGTAGAGACATAAAGGGTATCCATATACCAACCGATTTCCAGTTAATTTGTAGAGATACTTGGTATCTGTCTGGATATATAACGTATCAATAAAGATCATGCACCTTGCGTACGTTCCACTATAAATATATATATATATATATATAACAATTAAAATAAAAAGTCTTCATTAATAAAATTCACACATTTGAGATATCAAATATATAGTATGAGTTATAATAGAGTATAAGATAAGTTAAGTAAATATGGAGAAAATTATATTATTAATAATATTAAAATGTCAGAAGCATGGTTATGGTTTGCAAAATATTATCCATCAAAGTATGTATGCAAGTGTTTATTAAAACTAGGATATAAAATAAATAGAGATTATTGGAAGAATTTTGTATTTTGCATCAAAAATAATTTAACCAGCCATAGGCATATAGGTAATGACCCTGAATATAGGAATTTTAAAATTCAACTGGCATTATATAAAAATGTCATGCGTTATTAATTATCCAACAGATATATCGTTTATGGAGAAAGTGAATAAATTTGGCTAAAATAATTCAAAATGCAGTAATTGAGTGACTTTATTGATCAGATAGTACATTTATAAAACAAGCCAAAGATCGATATTATTGTGAAGCAATAACCCAAAGGGTTTATTAAAATATGGAAAAAAAATACTTTTCAAATCAGATAATAAGTAAAATTATAATTTCTAGAAGTAATCATGTTGCATTATAATGACCTTCAGGGGTGATGTCATGTGCAAATCTGCAAAGACTCGATGCTTTATATCATCTCTTTATTTTTTAAAAAATTGTCAAACAGCAGTTACATTATGAAAATATTAATAAGTCAACGACTACTAAAGCCATAAGCTCTCTTCACTTTTGCTAAAGTTATTGGGTTAATGCCAGTATAGTTCTATAGAAGTGGGTAATCGATAATCAAAGTCGCAGTCAATACCTTTTCTGGCTTTTCTTCTAGACCTTTGGAAGTTTTACTTGTTTTTTTATTAGTCTTGGAGATACTAGGAGCATTAGTCTTGCTCTTGGAAGTATTGGATTTGTTAATCTTATGGTCGATTTTTTTTCTTTTCCTATATAAAAAACAATAAATGTGAATACATTTTATATTATTAATTAAATAGTGATACATTGAAATAAGGTACATTATTGGAATTAGTGATAAAAAACGTTATTGGAACCTATCTTATGGAAGGAAAAGACTTGTATTTTATAGCATCCATAACCACTAAATCTATCCCAAAACCCAAGTATTTTTTTGTTATTGTCTTTGGCTAAAATAAATCCCCTTAATTTCAGTGATTCCACTGGTGAAGTAAAAAAATTAAGAATCATGGTGATCTGGGAATTTCAAATTCCTATAACATATTATTTTTGATAAAGCTACTAATGAAAATCAATAAACCCATTCCCCTTATGACTCTTTTTAATCTAATTCCTGTTTTCTCGCCAAAAATAGTTACATAATAGCTATAGAAGATTCATATAAGATATGGAGAGTATCGCATTACGTATTAAATCAACGAATTGGGATCAGCATAAAAGTTTGTGAAACATGTAAATCTTTTTTACATTATACATATTTAGGCTAAAAAATATTTCTATATTAGATATACCTCACGATAGGAATTAGCGAAACGAGACTCGAAAAAGCAGTAAGGAAGAGCAGACCGATAATCTCTATTAATGTATATATCAAAGGAATTATGTCTTGGGAAGTCAAAATCTCCGCAATCTCCAAGATCGTTATATGTCTATCAACTTTGTAACCTGTATAATCTATATATTATAAATAGTTACTGATTCAATTACGAAAATTTTTTTTCATTTCTTACTTGCATTATCTATCTTTACTAGTCTAGATACAAAAACGCACATAAACACATTGCATAAACCAGATTCTTTACGCTGTATACAATATAAAATATACCATGTCTTTGCACGATTCAACACCTTCCTCACCGGCTTCTATATCCTCTACTTTGATAAAAGAAAGGTTAATTCATATGATGGCAAATGTAATTAAAAAATATAAGACGGAAGAACTGATCGGTTATTTGCAGAGACAGGAAAATTTAGACCTAGATAAAGATGATTTATCAATTCTGCGTAAAGAAAAAATAGCTGGCCATGACTTTCTCAAATTAACAGAAAAAAAACTTAGAAGTATTGGCTTTGTATTGGGACTTGCAACTAGACTTTCTGATTTTGCTGAAGAGCTTCAGAAACAAAAAATCTAAAGTTTCTCATCGTATAAAACCATAGAAGAGCTGAAGAACATTCTCCGCAAATACAAAGTTAATGGAAAGTATGTAATACTTAATTTATTTTTTTTTCTTGGCATTATTTGGATGAACCAAGTTCGCTGAAATTTCTATTATGAAATAATGAGCTCTGCTCTGGTATTCTCCAATGTATAATTTTTAAGAAAATCGATGATGACGATAAGGCGCTCGAGCAGTGTATAAGTGAAATAACATTGAGGCTTTCGAATTTGGAGACAATGTTAACTAGTGCTAACGAAGCCACACATTGCGTATTCATTACATCGATATTAAATACGTTGCTCGCCATCGTTTGGAGACTTATTAATGAAAAAGAACTCTACATATCATATCAAAAAGATGTTTCGGGGGAAGAGGCATCAGGACGTGTCGACTATGTTATCAAAGGGAAAGAGGATCTTATGTGTATAGCCGAGGGTGAGCCTCGTAACGTTGAAATCGGATATCTCCAGAATATTGTGAAACTAGAGAGCGTATATCACATAAATAAGAAGAAGCATACAGTGGATCAAGCATTTCAAAACGATGATTACGACTACCTTTATGGAATAGTTTCTACAGGTATGATGTGTTTACAAATATTCTAGAATTCTTTATTTTGCTGGCTTCACTAATAGAAAAATGTTCTTTATATCTTAGCTACAGAATGGCACATTATTATGTTCACCACTGATGGTCTTTATTGTACCAGTAAAAGTGAGTATCCAATCAATCTCTTGAAGACAGCTCTCAAAGAAGATCTTGAATCGATCCGAAAAGAAGTAAAATGAGTGCTAGGTGTTATTGTTGGGTTATTAAAGAATCGGATAATGTTGATAATTCCTCTGCCAGTAAGAGGGCTAGGATTAAAAAAATTATCAAAAAATAGTAGGTAGATAATTCACCATTTCACATGTATTTTATATTGTATTAATAAAGTGGCTATAAATTTACTTTTGAATATATCTGTATTTTATTTAAAAAATGGCAAACACACAATCCAAAATTGACTTACTTAAAAACAGATTTCCAAGCTTGTAGATGAGAATGACACAGGCGGGAAAACACCGAGATTAAGTCTGAGAACATCGAACTTAAAGCTGAGAATATAAAATTAAAACAAACTTTGGAAGAACATGAATATGAATCCAAATTTATAAAACTGGAACAAAGTGATAAAAATATTGCTATCGAAAATGCCGAACTTAAAGCTAGAATTACAAAATTGAAACAGAAACAATCACAAAATAGCGTGAGCTACCAGGGTAATACTATAGATAGTAACGATTCTTCCGATGTACCCGATCAAGACAATACCAGAGAAATCAGTCGATCATTGGTTAATACTACCTCTAGCGAAACAAATTCTGATAACCATCTTGAACGGACAGAAAATAGTTCCGATCACATTTCTGATGATTCTCCTGAAACAAATTTTAATGATTCTTCTAAACAAATAAACTTACGATGTGATGGGTCAAAGACTCGTACCAAAGACATTGACATTCCGGCATCTGGTATATCTGATATTACTTCAAACCCTGATAAACATCAGGAAGAGACGAAGTCCAGAGTCACTAATTCATCTCCAACCACAACTACATACACAAAGCTTAAATTGTTAAAAGAAAAGGAAGTAGATGATTTCTTTGATTTACTAGAAAAAGAAAGGATTAGTAATATAATGAGAGAGAGAAATAGGAAAAAAAAATTTCAATGTGAATCACCTAGCCAGGAGGCATACTCAGTTTCCCAGAATACTGCATCTATGTCCCATGGTTGGAAAAACGAACAGGGCTTGATTCGAGAAATGATTTTATCCAAGAAAGAAAAGCATATGACTGAAATTTCAGCGAACTTGATTCGCCCAAATAATGAAACTTCAATAACCCCGTCTATTCTAGCCATGTCCCGGTTGTCACCAGATAATGGAGATATTATTAGTCTATATAAAAATGCATGTAATGCGGAAGTAGGTGCTATCAAAGCTAATCAAGAAGAAATATTACATTGGTGTTTCTATGCTAGAAAATTCAAAAGCATGTATAAAGATTTTATGGTCAACAATAAAGTCGAGGAAAAGAAGGCAAAAGGTCAGGTATATGACTTTATTGTCAAACAGATACCAGACACCAAACGCAAAACTTTATGTAAGCAGACACAGAAAGCTTTAAGGATTGACAATTTATTCGAAAGAATAGGAATAGACAAGATTCAATACATCAAAACACATAGTGTGAATACAATTTCAAAATTTACTAATACTCAAACTCAAACGATTATAGTCACTTCGCAAAGAAGCCTGATATATAATTCACCGATGATTCTTCTGATGTTGATGAGACAAGCGAAACTTTATATAATAAAAATGCTATTACATCTAAATCTTTACCAGAGGTTGAGATATGTGAGGAGACGCTCGAAGAGCGCCCCATAGGACCTGAAAAATATTTACTGGATGTAAGTAATGATCGAGATTCCGGTTATGAATGCGATTTTAAAGATGTCTACGATAACGACGAAGATGATTCACAGAGTGAGGAACGAAGGTCTCACAAAAATAAACTCATCAAACTTAGTTCCACTCACCTTAAATCAAAGGAATCCGCACGTCCCATAATTAAATTTCTAACGGAATTTCTTTGCATAAATGCACCCATTCACCGTTTTGGAAAATCTTCCATTTATGGCTTTAACCGCTACTTTAATTTTCGTCGTTACGAAGATAACCCCCGAAAATATCCATTTGTGTATAGGATTTATCACCATATGGTTCTTCTTATGGGACGTAAAGCGAAAAAATGCCGTTGAAAAAAACTCTCGTGAAACCAAGATCAACACTACTATCGCTGAACAAATCGGCAAGATTAAGTCCGAAATAAATTCCCGTGATGCTAGTTATGCAACGGAGGCACAGAATATCATTAACACGATAAATGGGAAATATAACGAAATCGAATAAGTTCTAGAAACCTACCATATTAATTTTAGTCAAATTGCAACTGATTTCGAGTCGGTCGGCAGGATGTTAACAACGCTCCCTCGCCCAGATTAGGATCTGACCAGCAAAGCGAGTCTTCATCAAATTCCTCGGATTCGAGCCGACGATCATTTTCGGATATATCTCCAGTAATAGTGTTAATTGTGAGTAGCGGGAAAGGAACTGCCATTTTTGCTTTTTGCGAAGGGTCTAGGGCTGGCTGGCTTAACAAGCAGGCGTGTTTTTTGTGCCTTTCCTCCCTTGAAACATCCTGCTACTCTATTATTTTTACTTAGCCGGCCGGCCCTTTCTCATATTATTTTACGAAAAAAATAGCTTAGCATTGAAGCTCTATTTCTTGAAGAAATAATGAAATAAAGATATGATTGACCTTTTTATTTTATGCGTGCTGAATGATTTGTGCGGATTAACCAATGTCCCTTTGATGATCTTTATGTACGGGATAGCATTAAATTTTTCTATTGTAAATAATGGTTAGTAATCGGTGTAAAAATAAATTATCTGTAGAAATTATCCCGAGAGTAAAGAAATAACTTATGCTGGGACTCGCATTAAATAGCCTAGGATCCTGATCGGGTTTATGAATTTTAACCGTGTGGTGTGTTATTATTGATAAGGGCTGTGATTACCAAGAAATAACTTGGATATTCACTGATTCGTAGCTTCATCGCCAGAGAACGGCCGACACGAAGCTATGACTTCTCCTAAGTATCCAAAGACACAAGGGAAGTTCTCACCGCCAGAGAACGGCCGACATGAGAAACTTCAGCAAAATCAATAAATCAACTGTCACCGCCAGAGAACGGCCGACGCGAACAGTTGTTAATCACAAGTAACTCATAACTTCACCGCCAGAGAACGGCCGACACGAAGCTATGGCTTCTCCTAAGTATCCAAAGACACAAAGGAAGTTCTCACCGCCAGAGAACGGCCGACATGAGAAACTTCAGCATAGTTACATTACCCAAAAGTACAAACAATGAGGCAAATCGTTTTTTACCCTCCATTTATACTCATCAAAATGTAGATCAGTCCGAAATTCTAAATAATGATCTTCACGTGTCCTTATTTACATAATTAGCCAGGATAAACATGCTAGGTTATTTTATATATTAAAATATATTAAATATGAATTTATTATATCAAATTAATTAAATTATAATAAATTTTAGTAAAAGAATTCTTTGAAAATTTTCTTTTATGAAAATTTTTTTTGAAGAATTGTTCTTTACTATCTTTTTTATATGTTAATTATATTATAAACTTAAGAACATAAGTATTTTAAAAACTACTATTGCATTGAAATAAAATCTCTAGTAAGAGTCAAGTAAGTTTGAAAACCTTATTTGTTCTTGATTGTATGAAAAAAATCCTATGGCAGTTCTTCTTCTTAATTTTGTTTTTATGTTTTCTTATTTTAAAAACTATTAATACTATCTTTATATTAATTTTTAATATTACAAATCTATTTTTAAAGTTATACTCAAGTATAATTACTGGATCTCTTGTTTGTTTTAATTAAATCTTTTCAACCATTTTTTTAATGATATATAATGTTGTGCTATCTCAAAATCTATAAAAATTTTTTAATACAAAAAATTAAAATTAGTTTTATTTCTTTAAATAATCAATATAAATTCAATACTTAATTAAATATTAAAACTTTAATTCTATAATAACCAAACTGATATAAACTTGTTTATAATAATAATAACATTAATTTGTAACAAAATCTATAAAATTTTTTCAATCAAGTTATTCTCAACAACAACAATATTACAGTTATATAAAAATATCAAACTTTTTATATATTTTATTTAATTTTTAATAAGTTGCTTTATGATTTTATAGATCCAAATAACAATATCAAAATTATATTATTAACATAATAATAAATCAAAGCTATCTTTATAGTTTTGTGAATCTAGACAACAAAATCAAAATCAAAATTAATTATTTTTTATTTTAACAGTTTCAATAATTATATTTAATTTAAAAAATTTTTTTATTAATAATTACAATAACTTAATTGATATAAATAAACATTAGTTATTTATGAATTATTATAATTTGTTTTTACTTACTTAATGTTCTAACTAATTAGAGATTATATATATAATAGATTAGAATTAACTTTTATAAAAGAGTAATATAAGATTTTTAATATAATAATAATAAATCAAAATTTAATAAATATCTTATATTTAATATTTATTTACAATAAAATATATATATTATTATAGGAAAATTGGACTGGTAGGTTAGGTGGTTTAAATTAGTAGTAGAACTTTCACCCTTTAAATAGGTTCTCCTCAAAAAATATGAACTCATTTCTCGAGTGTTATTAGTATTACTGGGGCATTAAAGTAAGATAGGCTAGTATTAAGCTATAGTCTAACATTACAGAAGATATTTGATGTAATTGTGATATTATTTATATATCAATAAACAGTTGGTATCTAATGTCCATTCTATTATAAATATATATATATTGTTATAAAAAATTATAAGAGTAAGTATATCAAGTATAAGTAGTATATTAAGGTATATTAGATATATTGTAAATAGTATATTAGAAATAATATATATAATAGATATAAAATCAAAATATATGTAACTTGTGAATTAATAGCACAGTAATCAGTGCTCCTAGATCCAGATCATAAGATACCAGTTCAACCTTAAATAAAGGCAGTTGAATAGAATTAATATAGTATCCAGTGTCATGACCTATTAAGCACTGTTTCTTATAAGAAACCAATTCATATACTGATCCAAGTAGGTATCAAGAATATAATCTTCAGAAAAAGTGTTATGGTGTGACGATTATCTGATTGGTATTATAATGATCATTAAAAAAATAAAAAGATATACAAAGTATTTATGATAGAACAAGTTGGTATAATAATTTTTTCTTATAATACTTGATATCTCTCCTTAAATAGTTTATCAAAAAGAAGATTTATTTTTATAAGATTTCTATTAGCTGAAATAGGTTATAATAATATAATATACAATAAATAGAATTATAATAGACAATAAATAAAATTAAATAGAGTTAAATAAGATTTAGAGTTTAAAAAAGATTTAGTTAAAAAAAATAATAGTGGCAAATTTAATTCAGATAGTTATTATTACTTGTGGATAGATTCTAGTTTATATAAGAACTAATTTTTTTTTTTTTTTCCAAGCAGTCAACGCAGAACTTTTCAACTGACTTCTTAGCCCCCTGGTGTTTCTCCAGGGTGCAGGGACAGTATTTTATTAAATCCTATATACTCGTCTGCAGCCTAAGCCTCTAAGTATAGACGTTGGGGGTGGAGAATTTGCTATATCAAGGCAAACGTTCCTTGTCTACCAGGATAATCTTTACCAGCAGCCACCTACTACTGTTTTTCAACCATTCAGTTTAGCCAAGACTTATCAGGATTTATTCAGTGAGATATCATTGGCGGGATGAGGGTACACCAGTATACCAAATCCGTCTGGAAATCGGACCCAGCCTCACCCTTCCTAATCTAACCTAGCAACACATGTGGGGGGTTATGTTTTATGGGGTCATATAGTCAACCGTTGCAAGTGTACCCCTTAGGATAGAACATCCCGTGATACAAGCAACCTCCTGCACCCCCGACCGGATCCTCGCTACCATCGGACATGTGAAACTCTTACTGATAGTTGTGTGACTAATGGTTTTAGCTGTCTGTACCTTTCTTTCCGCTACCAGAAAGATCTCATGAAACTTCTTCCCCCTTTTGAAGGTATTTCCTGGGCAATACTTGATCAGAAAGTTTACCAATCAGATCATCTATCTTTTTGACCTATGGGGTGTAGTTTACCCATAAGGCTTCCTGATCGCTGGAACAACCCAAATCGCTCTCTATCACGAATTACAGGAGCAGTGACACAAAGTCCTTTTTGGGATATGTGAATTGTCCCCCAGCTGGAGTTGAACAGTGGGTCATGGGTTAGCCCTACCCTGCCTTAGCCTACTGGACTATGACCAGGTAGGTCGCTATAAATAACTTGTATAAAATCAAATTAATTAATAAATTATATAATAAAATTAATAAAAATTATATTTCAAAAAGTTATTTTTTATAACTATATTTCCTTCATTTATATTTCTTATTTCTTACTAATAAAGTATACGAAACTCCCTACCTTTACTATAGTGGTCTACCTATATGTAGCAATATTTATCTATTACTGTATATAAGTCTGATTGATCAGATCAACCAGCTGAATGTATCTTATATATTATAGTAAAAAATCTTATTAATCAAGTCAATTAGCCATATATATTTTATTTAGTAAATATTTTATCAGCTTAGTCGACTAGCTAAATATGCCTTATATAGTAAATTTTTTATCAGCCTGAATCAATCATAAACTATTTTAACCAGCCAAGTTGACCATATCAATCAGGCCAGTTCAGCCATAGGTAATTTCTATCTTTAATTATTATATTATTTTTAATTATATCGGTTGAAGGAACTAGAACTTTATTTTATAAAATAAATATTATATTTTTATAATCAGAAGATTTAATACTTATAAAAAGAAGGTCATTAACTATAATCTATTTTATAAGCAATTGTTAAAAATTTTTTATATTTATATCTAAAAATAAATTAATATTTTTTAATTTGAAATTAAATAAAATATTTAATATAACTTATTAGAACTAATTTATTTTATATTGTTTTTTCTAATATTAATTACTGATTGTTTTCTTTAAGTCATAAAGAATATTAAACTTTATAAAAAAACTCTTTCCCGCTCCCCTCAAATTTTTAAAAAACTTCCTTTTTAAGAAATTTAACGAGACATGAATGGAGGACATGTCAAGTTATATCTTTCTTTAAAGAAACTTTTTCCCTTCCTTTACCACTATCGAGGATAAAAACTCTTTCCTAGAGTAGGCCTATCAGTTTAGTTAAGACTGATATTTCCCCTCTCCAACATGGAAAGTTACCTCTGCCAACACTGACATAATACTTCTCCTATACCTCAAGACCTGCTATACATGAGCCAACTTTAAGAGTTTGGTTGAAAAGAGTCAAGCTGCAGAAGGATGGGACTCTTGGTTGAATTCTTCAAGACTTGGGACACCTTGTTGATGAAAAGTGCATAGAGAAAGGCCTTTGGTTTGATATCTTTTTCACTCATACACATTGATACAAATTTTCTCACCAAAAACCGAAATCAGTTTACCCCCATCAAATGATCGACATTATTCCTTATCCAATCATATTTCACAAAAATCGCACCATTCGACATCATAATAACAACAACAACAACAACAACAATTATCATGTGTTAATATTAAGTAAACAACTTTAAAGAGATCAGCGATATGGACACTAATGTGTGGCGCTATTATGGCTTTTAAACGGCTTACCGATTATGTAGGAGTTGCATCCTGCTTGGCAGTTTTGCCCCTAGATTTGGCAGCTTAAGCCAACCGAATCCTTTGGAGTGTCTACTAGGAGATTTTGGAGTCACGTCCCACTTGGCCTTTGAAGCCCCTATATTTGATAGTCTGTACTATACATGTTGCTGAAATTCATAGATTCTTGACACAATTGACACAATTATTTGACACAATTATTTGACGCAATTAATTGTGTCACTATTAAAACATATAAATAATTGAGTCATGACACAATTATTTTTGAGGATTTTGGGAATTGAGTCAACAGCAA